TGCTCGCCTCGTGTGCGCGTTTTTTTTTTTTTTAATTTTTATTATAAATGTAAAAGCCACTTTAAACAAATTATCTAAACAATTAGCGTTTATACAGAGAGGATATTCGGGTTCGCTACCAAGGATCCTGGTTATCACAGGAGAGGTATTTAGACTTTCCTTGGCCAACGCACCATCTTTTCATGGAATGGATACAAAGCAACGATCTTCTGTCCAGCAGAATAAACTTTCTTTGATTCTTGGGAGCTGCGCAAACTTTTTTTTTTTTCTTTTTTAATGGAAGTTTTTGGAAGTTTACGGAGTAAATGAATGACAGACCTTTGAGGGATGGGCACGGCGGATGGATCACATTGCGCATTTTCTCGCCTGACTTTCAATTCAATTTCTATCCAGATGTTAACATGGAAATAAATGGCATTGCAGATAAAAAAAAGTACAAATCTATCCAACTTTTTTCTTTTTTTAGCACCAGATAAAATAGCAAACTATTAGAACCTTTCTTGGGATTTTATTACTGTCTTAATCATTACTGTCCCTGCTTTCTGTTCAGGTGACAGTGCAGAAAGCGAGGGGGAATCCCTCATAGGGGGGCACAGATTCGGGAAACTTGATAGCAGTTGTAACTATAAAAAGAAATGGATAGAAACATTTATATGGAGTAACAGTGAAGTGGCGAGCGGGCGACCAGATATGATTATTGCTCCGCATCCCTGTAAATATTCAATAGAGAAGATGGGACTTTCAGGGTGCATGAACATGAATACAAAACATTAAAAAGTTATATGATTTTTATTTCATATTTTTTAAAAAAAAAAAACACAAAAAGAAAAAAATACAGAAACATAAAAACAATTTCAGTACTAAGAGTAAAACTGAGATTCAAACTTGGTTATGTATTGTAGTTACTCCTTTTATATGGAGTTCATTAGGACAGAACCATTTCTTAATCCGGTTTAAAGTCCGTTTTTATTTTTGGATAGTAGTAGGAAGAGTTAAGCATTGGCCATTTGTGCCTACTGACATTGATTGTAATACACAGCTCACCATACTTTCAATGGCAAAGTCTGGCCCATCGACTTCCATGATGTGATTGAAAGCCTACCGGAGATGGATGGCATTGGTATTCTATGTGGAACACACCTACAGAGGTACCTTCCATTTCTAAAGGTATGTAGTTTGGGGCTAATCTGAAGTCTGGAGAGCATGCATTGGGCCTGATCTGAAGTATACATAGGTACATGGACTGGGGGCCTGATCTTTGGCTTGAAGAATATGGCTTGGGGCTGATACGAGGTAAGTGTATGCATTTTCATTGATCTTATGTCTGAAGGTGCATGGATTGGGGCTGATCTGATGTCTGAAGTGTATGCATTTGGGCCTATCTGAGGTTAGAAGGTTCATGGATAGGGGCTGATCTGAGGTTAGAAGGTTCATGGATAGGGGCTGATCTGAGGTTAGAAGATGCATGAATAGGGGCTGATCTGAGGTCTGAGGGTGCGTGCATCCGGGCTGACCGGAGGTCTGAAGTAAATAGCTTCATGCTGATCTGCGGTTTGAAGTTTATGAATTGGGGTTGGTCTGAGGTCTGAAGGTGCATGCATTAGAGTTGGTCTAAGGTGCATGCATTGGGGATGATTTGAAGTCTGAGGTGCATGCACTGGAGCTGATTTGAGGCCGGAGGTGCATACATTAGAGTTGGTCTGAGGTGCATGCATTTAGGGGGATGATTTGAGGTCTGAGGTTCATGCATTGGGGCTGATTTGAGGTCTGATGTGCATGCATTGGGGTTGATCTGAGGTGCATGCATTGGGACTGATATGAGGTCTGAGGTGCATGCATTGGGGTTGATTTGAGGTCTGAGGTGGTGCATTGGGGTTGATTTGAGGTCTGAGGTGCATGCATTGGGGTTGATTTGAGGTCTGAGGTGCATGCATTGGGGTTGATTTGAGGTCTGAGGTGCATGCATTGGGGCTGATTTGAGGTCTGAGGTGCATGCATTGGGGTTGATTTGAGGTCTGAGGTGCATGCATTGGGGTTGATTTGAGGTCTGAGGTGCATGCATTGGGGCTGATTTGAGGTCTGAGGTACATGCATTGGGGTTGATTTTAGGTCTGAGGTGCATGCATTGGGGCTGATTTGAGGTCTGAGGTACATGCATTGGGGTTGATTTGAGGTCTGAGGTACATGCATTGGGGTTGATCTGAGGTGCGTTCATTGGGGCTGATTTGAGGTCTGAGGTGCAAGCATCGGGGCTGATTTGAGGTCTGAGGTACATGCATTGGGGCTGATTTGAGGTCTGAGGTACATGCATTGGGGCTGATTTGAGGTCTGAGGTACATGCATTGGGGCTGATTTGAGGTCTGAGGTACATGCATTGGGGTTGATCTGAGGTATGAACATACCTCCCAACTTTTTGAGATGGGAACAAGGAACACCTATTAGCAAATGTATGTAGGCATAGGACACACCACCTGCCAGGCCCCCTAAAAGGAGAATTATACAAAAAAAAAAAGATTAGTTAAACCCACAAGTGTTTTATTTTACAACTACTATTCCTTTATACTACCTTTTGAAGTTTACAAATGCAATTTAGAAACTGGATGAAAGGTTTAGCACCATGAAACACGTTTTGAAAGATTAATAGTCCATTTTATAAACAACTCTATAGACCAAACCAAAATGAGGGACAAATGAGGAGGAAAGAGAGGGACAGGGGGACTTTGTTCCAAATCAGGGACAGTCGCTTGGAATCAGGAACAGTTGGGAGGTATGGTCTGAAGGTGCATGCATTGGAACTGATCTGAGATCTGAATTGTATGGCTTGGAGCTGATCTCAGGTCTGAAGTGTAGGCATTAGGCCTGATTTGAGGTCTGAGGTGCATTCATTGGGCCAGATTTGAGGTCTGAGGTGCATTCATTGGGCCAGATTTGAGGTCTAGTTGCATGTATTGGGCTGATCTTAGATGGGAATTGTATGGCTTGTGTGCTGATTTATGTCTGAAGGTGCATGGATTGGGGCTGATCTTAGATCTAAATTGTATGATTTGGGGGCTGATCTCAGGTCTGAAGTGTAGGCATAGGGCTTACTGAGGCCTAGGTGCATGTATTGGGGCTAATCTCAGGTCTGAAAGGTGAGATTGGGCCTGATTTGAAGCCTAGGTGCATGTATTTGGGCTGATCTCAGATCTGAAGGTGCATGCATTGGGCAGATTTGAGGCCTAGGTGCTGATTGGGCTGATCTCAGGTCTGAAGGTTCATGAACTGGGGCATTTGAGGCCTAGGTACCATGTATTGGGCTAATCTCAGGTCTAAGGTGCATGCATTGGGCCAGATTTGAGGCCTAGGTGCATGTATTGGGCTGATCTCAGATCAGGTGCATGCATTGATTTGAGGCCTAGGTGCATGTATTGGGCTGATCTCAGGTCTGAAGGTTCATGAACTGGGCCTGATTTGAGGCCTAGGTACATGTATTGGGCTAATCTCAGGTCTGAAGGTGCATGCATTGGGCCAGATTTGAGGCCTAGGTGCATGTATTGGGCTGATCTCAGGTCTAAAGGTGCATGCATTGGGCCAGATTTGAGGTCTAGGTGCATGTATTAGGCTGATCTCAGGTCTGAAGGTGCATGCATTGGGCCTGATTTGAGGCCTAGGTGCATGTATTGGGGCTGATCTCAGGTCTGAAGGTGCATGCATTGGGCCAGATTTGAGGTCTAGGTGCATGTATTGGGCTGATCTTAGATGGGAATTGTATGGCTTGGGGCTGATCTCAGGTCTCAAGGTGCATGAATTGGGGCTCATAGTTTTACTGTTAATGGCAAGTTATACCAATTAATTATATATAATTAACAAGTTTACCTTGCCATTAGCAGTTCAACTATGAGTGCAAAGTAAAACCACCAAGAATATAATGCGTTAATGTTCACTGGCACATCCTACGCCTGTACACGACACTTAACCAGTTGCCTGCTGTCCTATAGCAGAAACACTGCTACAGGGCGGCATGGCTGCGCGAACTCACGTATATATATACATGATTTGCAGTTCAGGGTAGGGGCGCGTGCACGCCACTCTACCTGTGCCGCCATTAGCGGCTACGGATGTCAATCCTGGCCGGAGATTCCCCGCCAGCACCCGGCGATTGCTAAGTAACACTGACAGTGGAGAGACCTGTGTGTAAATACAGGTCTTGCACCTGCCAGCAACAACATGCTGCTGTGTATTTCTCTGCATGTTTCCCAAGTAAAACACACACAGCACGCAATGTGAAACAGCAGCACAGCACACAGTTAACCCTTTGATTGCCCCAGAGGTTAACCCCTTCCTGCCCAGTGCCATTAGTACAGTGTCAGTACTTTTTATTAGCACTGATCACTGCATTAGTGTCACTGGGGATGTCAGTGGCAGTTAGTCAGTTCCCCCCTAGTGTCAGAATGCCCGCCGCAGTCCCGCAATCCCGCTATAAGTCGCTGATCGCCGCCATTACTAGTATGAAAAATAAATAAATAAAAGTTAGAAGATTCCATTATTAGCTGAGGGGAGGATAGGCTTCCCTGAAGAGATAGGTTTTCAGAGATCACCTAAAAGTGAACAAAGTAGGCGATAGTCTGATAAATTGGGGAGAGAGTTCCAGAGGATGGGGGAAGCTCTGGAAAAGTCCTGGAGACGAGCATGGGAGGAGGAGACAAGGGAGCTAGAGAGCAGGAAGTCGTGGGAGGAGCGGAGAGTACGGTTTGGGTGATATTTGGAGAAAAGATTGGTGATGTAATTTGGGGCAGAGTTATAAATGGCTTTATATATTATTGTTAATGTTTTGAATTTTATCCGTTGGGCAATCGGAAGCCAGTGGAGGGATTGGCAGAGAGGGGTGGAGGACACTGAGTGGAGGCCAGTGGAGGGATTGGTAGTAGAGAGGGGTGGAGGACACTGAGTGGAGGCCAGTGGAGGGATTGGTAGAGAGGGGTGGAGGACACTGAGTGGAGGTCAGTGGAGGGATTGGCAGTGAGAGGGGAGGAAGACACTGAGTGGAGGCCAGTGGAGGGATTGGCAGAGAGGGGAGGAGGAAACTGAGTGGAGGTCAGTGGAGGGATTGGCAGAGAGGGGAGGAGGACACTGAACGGAGGCCAGTGGAGGGATTTGTCAATGAGGGGGATTGGAGGACACTGAATGGACGTCAGTGGAGGTGGATTGGCAATGAGGGGTGGGAGGACACTGAGTGGAGTCCAGTGGAGGGATTGGCAGAGAGGGATGGAGGACACTGAGTGGAGGCCGGTGGAGGGATTGGCAGAGAGGGGATGGCAGATACGGAACGGTTAGTAAGGTGGATGAGTCTGGCAGCAGCATTCATGATAGACTGAAGAGGGGATAGCCTGCGATGAGGTTGGCCAATGAGGAGGGAGTTACAATAGTCAAGGCGAGAGATAACAAGGGAGTGAATGAGTTGCTTAGTGGTTTCCGAGGTTAAAAACGTCCGTATCTTGGAGATTTGGTAGATTTTCATCTCACTACTTGCCCTCCAAACACCACGCGTGTCAGGATGTGACATGGTGTCACCTGGACAGGAAGTGCAATAAAATCTCCTCATTGGGAGACCAGAGACAAAAATATAAACGTGATACAAAGAACCTGGAACACTGTGTGTGTTGCAGTTGTTTTGATCTTGCCTGCAACATTTGGCAGTCGTCACAACTTGCAAAGCTTGCCAAATTCCTCCATTCAAGTCAATGGAAGTGCACTGCAAAAGCGTTTTAAATGATGCTAAGGCCTTTAAGGAGCGCTACAGTAAGGAGTTTTAGTTTTAATGCCCATGGGGTGGGTGCTATTGTTCACTGCCTGTGTTTCCTTGTAGTACAAATGTTGCTACAATAATCTCCCATGCCCATGTCGCACTGGAAAGAAGCGTACCAACAGCAATGCTTGTCATTGGGAAGAGGTCAGCGAGGACTGGCCACCAAATATAATGACAACGCTACACCTGGTAGAGTCACTGACCCTCCAATGATAATACCCTGACAGCTGCCGCAATGAGATTTTTGGTCTTACAAGCTGGAGACCAACGTTTTGCAGATGACCAGGTCAAGCATGGCCAGGTTAATTAATGTTCCTCTTTTGGCAAATTTAGAAACAGAGAAGACCTCTGAAAATTCACGGTTAAATATTTCCCGATCCCCGGTGAGAAAACTATTTTAATTCCACGTTCTAATATCTTTTAATGAATTATCTGGAGAGTCTATTTTAAATGAACTTTACCTGAGGACACTTATGTATGTCAGGAACATTATCTGCTTCAACAAATGGAGGAATAAAAGCAAAATATAAATGTTACGACTATGAGGACTTGTCCGGAAGATGAACCCGTGTGCAGTGTGGCTGGGTTCTTTGGACCATAGCAGTTCGCTTTCTGCAAGAGCCGTTGGTGAACTTAGTCCTCTTTCCCCCTTACAGCACACACAGCCAGGTACGCAGCATTTTCTTCACTCTTCCACTTGAGGACTTGTCCGGAAGATGAACCCATCTGCAGTATGGCTGGGTTCTTTGGACCATAGCAGTTTGCTTTCTGCAAGAGCCGCAGCTGAACTTAGTCCTCTTTCCCCCTTACAGAACACACAGCCAGGCACACAGCATTTTCTTCACTCTTTCACTTGCTCCAAGGAACAGTCTACGGGTTTCTTTTTGGGGTTTTATTGGGACCGCTGAACTTGGATAGGGTGAGGGAGCATCGGATACCCCAATAAACTAAAGAAATTAATAACTTGAGGACTCCTCAGTTTGCTGTTTGTACTGTATAAAAAAAGGAATGTCCCATAGGATCTCTATGCTGACGGTGACTCCTTCCAGAGATAAAAGCTACACACAGTCCCTGACTGCCCAGCACTGGGGACATTTACTGACATAGCCACAGGATCATCAGTTGTCTCCTTCCGATATCCACCAGGCTCTTCTCAGTAAGGGAGATGTAGACTCACACCACCATAGGAAAGCTTGACTTTTGCCCACCAATTTCCTCTTGGCTCTCTCCAGTGAGCAGCTCTAGACACAACTTGATCCCAAGACTTAAGCTTGCCCCCCCCCCCCCCCCGGTTAAATCTAGCTGGGAGCTCAGTGTCTTCCTAATGGCTCCTTCTAGTGTTCTATCCCGGAGTCTGTGCATAAGGGTTTCCTCCAGGAAGACTGGACCTAGGAACACTGCTCCCTGCTGCTCAGGCCTCAGACTATTTATGGGCTCTCTCACCTCCTACTGGACACACCTCATCCAGGGATTGGCTGGAGTTCCATAACTATTCATGCTGCATATTCTGTCCTTCTCCCCTACTGTACTTCTATAGAAGACAAGGGAACACAATCAGAGCAGCAGCTTGTGAGACACTGAGCAGCTTACTCCTGCTCCACTGACTACAATGGTGCCATCTAAATGGACCTGCCAACCTATAGAACACTAGGAGGGTGCCACAAAAGCATTTTCTCAATTGACTTAATAAACCCGCAGATGATCACCTGTTGTGTAATGATGGAGTATCCCAAAGGCGTTATGGGTGCATTGCATCATCACGGACATTATGCAGACCAATGTTTCCCAACCAGGGTGCCACAGCGCCCTTGGGCACCCAGTTTGCCTTGGATCAGGGACAGATCTCTGTGATCTGGTGAGGGGGACCTCTGTGGTGGTGGGGGGCTTTGATGTGATGGGGGAAGACTTTGATGTGATTGGGGAACTCTGTCGTGAGAGTACTTTGATGTGAATGGGGGCTCTTATGTATAAGGGGGACACTACTGTGATGGGTGGACTCGTACATATAGGAGGACCTCTTATGTGATGGGAGAACCTTTGTTGTGATGGGGTACCTCTGATGTGATAGGGGACCTCTGATGTGACCTCTGATGTGATGGGGGACCACTGATGTGATGGAGGACCTCTGATGTGATGGGGGACCTCTGATGTGATGGAGGACCTCTGATGTGATGGGGGACCTCTGATGTGATGGGGACCTCTGATGTGATGGGGTACCTCTGATGTGATGGCACCTCTGATGTGACCTCTGATGTGATGGAGGTACCTCTGATGTGATGTGATGTGAGGACCTCTGATGTGATGGGGTACCTCTGATGTGATGGGGACCTCTGATGTGATGGGGACCTCTGATGTAATGGAGGACCTCTGATGATGTGAAGGGGGGATTCTGATGGGAAGTTAATCTTATCAAGGCAATTGTGTACATTGTCCCAGGCTCAGGTATCCCATTGATAAGTAACATTTAAATTTTTTGCATTGTAGACTTGGGGGGCCTCAAGATTTTGCATGCTTTTCGAGGGTGCCTCGACTAAAGAATACAGTGTGTATAATGTGTCTTTTATATTTGCCTGGAGTTGCGCTTTAAGTGAAATACAATTCTGCTAAATCATTTGCTTTCATTTTCAAAAATCCAAATGAGATTTGTAAGGCGTTTAAAGCAAACCAGAAGTAATGAGCGTATTCGCTGACCGATGGCAGAACAAAGACAATGACGGTAATGTAAAGGAAAAATATTTGGGGCAAAGTTTTAAACATTCTGTGAAGTGTTTAAGTGTTTCTTCTTAAAACATATCAGGACGGGTCAAAATCTCTGATCAGAACATGATGGGCAATAAATAGGGAGCCTGTACATTGCAAAACATAATGTCACGGCGCTACGATGTGAGTCAAACCAGGAACCCTCGTCCAGGGCTAACAAATCAGACTGACGGTAGAACGTTTAACAGACCTCTCAGAAACCAGCTCCTGGTCTCTACTGGGCCTGATATGTCATCCCTTATATAATTCCAAATACAACTCTAGACAACCTGTGTGCAGAATTCCATACAACACTTTTAAGCATTATATTAATATCATTGCTGCATTTATTTTATACTAAAAAAGTGTGTCTGTACAAAAATGGGGAAGGTTGGGGATATTAGATATAATGATCAATTGTTTTAGTGGGTAAAAAGTGCAGGAGAGGAGAGTGGCAGAGAGCAGAGTATGAAAGCACGTGTAAGGGAGGAGTGAGGAGGGTATGGTGACAGGCAGGAGAGGAGTGCAATGGGTATTATTATCTTTATAGTCAAGGATTTATATCGCGCCAACAGTCTGCAGAGAATATGGTGGCCATGATGGTGGGGAGTGTGTGTAGGAGAGGAATGAAGAGGGTATGACGGTGGGCAGTGTGTGCATGGGAGTGCAGAGGGCAGAGGGTATGACGGTGGGCAGTGTGTGCAGGGGAGGAGTGCAGAAGGTATGACGGTGAGCAATGTGTGCATGGGAGTGCAGAGCGTATGACAGTGGGCAGTGTGTGTGCATGGGGGAGTGCAGATGGTATGACAGTGGGCAGTGTGTGTGCATGGGAGGAGTGCAGAGGGTATGACAGTGGGCAGTGTGTGTGCATGGGAGTGCAGAGCGTATGACAGTGTGGGCAGTGTGTGTGTATGGGAGGAGTGCAGAGGGTATGACAGTGGGCAGTGTGTGTGCATGGGAGGAGTGCAGAGGGCAGAGGGTATGACGGTGGGCAGTGTGTACAGGGGAGGAGTGCAGAAGGTATGACAGTGAGCAATGTATGCATGGGTGAAGTGCAGAAGGTATGATGGTAGGAAGTGTGTGTGCAGGGGAGGAGTGCAGATGGTATGACGGTGAGCAATGTGTGCATGGGAGGAGTGCAGAAGGTATGATGGTAAGAAATGTGTGTGTAGGGGAGGAGTGCAGAGGGAATGACAATGGGCAGTGTGTGCAGGGTAGGAATGCAGAGGGTACGACGGTGGGAAGTGTGTGAAGAGGAGGAGTGCAGAGGGTACGACGGTGGGCAGTGCATGCAGGGGAGGAGTGCAGAGGGTACGACGGTGGGCAGTGCGTGCAGGGGAGGAGTGCAGAGGGTACGACGGTGGGCAGTGCATGCAGGGGAGGAGTGCAGAGGGTACGACGGTGGGCAGTTTGTGAAGAGGAGGAGTGCAGAGGGGTACGACATTGGGCAGTGCGTGCAGGGGAGGAGTGCAGAGGGTACGACGGTGGGCAGTGTGTGAAGAGGAGGAGTGCAGGGGAGGAGTGCAGAGGGTACGACGGAGGGAAGTGTGTGCAGAGGAGGAGTGCAGAGGGTACGACGGTGAGCAATGTGTCTGCATGGGGGGAGTGTAGAGGGTACGACGGTGGGAAGTGTGTAAAGAGGAGGAGTGCAGAGGGTATGACATTGGGAAGTGTGTGCAGGAGAGGAGTGCAGAGGGTATGACATTGGGAAGTGTGTGAAGGAGAGGAGTGCAGAAGGTATGAAGGTAGGGGAGGATTGCAGAGGGTATGATGGTGAGCAGTATG